AAAAAAAATAGAATTCCATCTATTTTGCAAGAAGTGTTCAGAAGATGAGAATTTGTCAGTTAGAACTGATCTTTAGTTCGATCTATACTTTTTGATTGATCTCTGTCGTTCATTTTCGTAGCTTTCCATTTCATATTAACACAGAAGTTTATAAATCAATGACTCATAAACTTGGTTTTCACCTGCCTGCAGCGAGTTACTACCCTTCCTTCTCACCATAAGTATTATAATTGTTTTCTTTTTATATTCAGTATTTTATTGAAAATACAAATTCAAAATATTCCTTTATTAATTTAGTTTTTATTGGTACATGAACAGTTACTGATGAAATAATGGCTGAAACTGTCTTTTATCGCTTTATTTATAGAAAATGGCGTTTTTTAGAAGAAGACTGTGAACGACTGTCTATGCATCTTTTTAAAACATTGTGTACTGACGCAGCGAATTTGGTTTTATCGTTTGTTAGCGGGAACGAAGGCGCGAAAAACCTAAAAACCAAGGCTTGTATTTTCTTGACTCGACTGTCAGCTGCCTTTTCTTCGTAAAGATTAATCTTTAAGACATAAAAAGATGAAGGGATCGACGTAGAAAGTTTGTCTGGAACCATAGTTTTTCTGGGTTTTTTATAATGAAGTAAGAAGAAAGGTTGGGCTGTTATAATTTTTTAAAACGACCACTTTTGGCTTAGTTGTTTGATGGATTACGAACTTTGTCCTTTTTTTGAGTTTGTTTCCAAGGGTAGCATTTTTTATCGTAAGAGATGGGCCTGAATTATAGGTTCGCGATGATACTATTAGTGCAATCGAGAACCCGGCATTGCGAGAAGCAGTATCACAGCTTTTTCTTTCAGTCGGGCATTATAATTTCGAAAGTTTCCATGACTCACTAGCTAAAATTTCTTCTCCTGCTCTTTGCTCAATCAGTTTAAAGACGCCAGACAAAAAACGTCGGTAAATTCTTTACTAAAAATTATGTAATCATAGGGACAGTCGGGAAACTGGACAGCTTTCTTTAAAGTCTTCGTAGACATTTTCGGGACAATCCGCACCAATTGACATTCTTCTAGCGTTAAAAAGGTAGGAGTTGGTTCGCTGTATTTAGGAACGAGCTAGTCAGATTGTATGCCGAAGGCCTTGAGAAGCGTCTGGAGGAGTGCGCAGATTCTGCCACTGGATTACTGGTCGCACTTTTGCTTATTTTCGCCAGAAAACACATTGCCGTTCATGCTACTGGGAAGTTTGTTTCGAGGCTGATAAAAGAGGTATTATTCATTTGATTTGGATTTGTATGGCATTATGAAACTTTTACTTGCAGTAGCGGGCCCACTTCTCTTAATATTCATAAATTCGTTTGAAGACAAAATTTCTAAAAATATTACTCTTTTGCTTTTTTTTGAAGAGTATTTTGGTATAATTCGATTTAATATTTTTCGGCCGAGTAATGTCTTTTGGACTTTCGTAATTTACGCTGAATTTGCCGTTCCTATGCACGCTGTCAAAATATTGCTAATTTTGCTTTGTTTCTTTTTTAAATAGGGTTTTTAAAGGGGATCACTTTACTTTTTAGTGAAAAGATATCAGTGGTGATTTTAGGTTGGAAAAGTAGTGGCGGACGAAGAATTATTGCGGTTATTGAGCGATATGGAAGCATTGGTTATTGCGTCTTTTAAAGAGAAAGCAAATGAACAAACCAAAAATATACTTTCAGAAAAACTTGGTGAATTGAAAAAGATTTTAATTAACAATTTTGTGGTGGATGAATCAAAATTGCAAGATTAAACCATTTTATCTGAAAACGGGTTGTTTAGATATGTGATACTGACATGCTGTAAATGACGATGTGTTGCACCCATAGCTGTTTTAGCAATCGGTCATAAGTGCTTTTTCTGTGATACTTTGAAAATTGATGATATTTAGTGCTGCAAATGACGTTTTAAGTAAACAGTTCTATGGCCTTTACGGACGTAAATCATTTTGAACATCATTGTTCTTGGTGTTATCGTTTTTTAAGAGGCAATGACAATCAAGAGGTTTTTTGGCTTTTCAGTTGTTCATGGTACTAGTGGTACAAGCAGTCATCAACTAGTACAAGTTCTTTGCGCATCTAGTTTACTCATTGTCCGTTTTGAAATCCTTTTGTCTGTTTGTCCCTCTCGTTATCAAGACAAAACGGAAGTGCTGATTATTGGGCTGGGGAGTTTCTTGCTATAGTTCTTTTAAATTTTGAGATGGAATTCGAAGTTGCTTACGTATTAGTTTCAAGGCAGTGTGTTTGGCGTGTTGTTTTAATTTTTGAACTAGTAACAAAGGTTCTTTGATTCTGAATGTGCACTACTGCTTGACACATCAGCATGCAGCAAAATAGCCCAAAAGTAGCTTCGTGGATGTCATAGTGATAACGCTTGAAAGTGGGAAATTAGGGTTTGATTGTTCATTATTGCGTTTTTTCCATCTAAGCGTGGATGGGACGCTTGTGTTCGTGTGAATATCGGTGATACGGGGTGGGGCACACAGATTCTTCTGTCTAGTGAACTACTGAGAACAGGGAAGCTGACGAAGCGAGAGAGCAGTGCGCCCAGCAATGGGCAAATATTGTACGATACTGGGAGGATATCGATTACGGAGTTGCATGTCTTTCTGTGTTCCAATGTGTGTTTGTATGTTTGTACGTGTGTGACAGTGTGAAAGTCAATTTGCAAATGAGGCGTCGCAAAAGAGGCATTCAGTTTAACAGCTGATCGTTGCATTTAAATTTCCATCGTTCAACCTGGCGTAGTTGGTCTTAAACATTTTTGAGTGTCATATTGTAGATAAATAAAAGGGGTTCTGATGTTAGCTGGAGATTCTGAGTAACTGCTGTATGAGAAGTGGATGTTAGACAGAGCCTAATCAGTGTATAGTTGAGCTTGATTAGCTGGTGTATTTTATGTTTACGTTTCGTTCCGCACTGTAGTTCATAAGATGCATACCCGGGTTGTATCTGCGGTGTGTAATTAGTTTTTCATTAACAGTATCCAGAAGACTTGTTAAATCAGTTATCTATCAAGGCGACTAAAAGGTAGGGGTAAGCGGTCGAGGCTGCGTTGTCGAGGTGTTAGTAAACCCTTTTACTAGGATAATGAAGTGTTGTTCAGCAATATTTTTTCCTCAGTAGGCGTCAGAACACTATCGAGGTCGTTTGGGATGGAATTACAATGATTGTCTAACGTTGTTTTTGATAGTATGAATGCAGCACGGAGAAGCTGGTATTTTGGATACAAAATTATTGTTCTATGACGCGTTTTTGTTTGTGATTTTTTTTTTTGTCCGCTACAAGTATATTCACTGTGAACAGTGAAATTTGTCTGCACATCGGTTATATTCAAATTAGCCGTCATCATCGCCTTCTTATTTTCAAGGTTTTCAAAAGGGTTCCAGCGTCGATCGTTTGCTATCAATATTTTAAGGTATGTAGGCAGACATGCAGGCATTCTGTAGCCGGCCAAATGCAGGCAGGCAGCTTAATGGTGACATCAGGTGGGTGGACAGACGAGCACACAAACCCTACCGAGGAAGGGAGGTGTTGCTTTGTTGTTGTTGTTGTTGTTGTTGTTGTTGTTGTTGTTGTTGGTATTGCGTTGCGTTTTCAGCCTTCTAAGTGGCACTGGTAAAGGTAGGGAGAGGCGGGAGGGTAGGGGGGTGGGGGAGGGAGAACATTTGCTTTTTCTCTCAGTTTTTGAGAAGCAGAGAGGAGAGACGGGTTTGTATCTAAAGGAAAGTGTATTGTTTAGAGGTTGATCCATATTTTACAATTATCAGTCGTCTGTCAACTATCTATTGGAAAGTGTCGCTTGTTGTAAGAGTGTTGCTTACAGTTCGATATTCGCTGCTAGCACTCTAATGGTGGTTACAGCAGATTGGATGACGGATATGACTAAAGAAATTTTCATCTTTTTTGACTCTTATAAAGTTGGTAATGAAATCCAATTGCTTCAAATTCATTGACTAAACAGTCAAGCGATTACAAATGATTATTGGTGTCTTATCGTGACGACAGGTATCAATAATTTTTATGGCTAATTTTAGTTAGATGGCATTTCTGTTGCCAAAAAATGAGGCTATCTTTTTTTTTTTACATTTGTACGTTTGATTGAGTTAATTTATTATTTATCTAAATTTCTTATGAAACTTTCTTTTGGGTAATGTGTATACATATACTGTTCAGTCGTTTAANNGTATTCAGTCCTTTCGGGCAACATTTTTCCCTTCTTTTGAATTCATAAATATGAGGGGATAAAGAAGCAATAGAAGGTGTTAAATTTGGTTTCACCC